CCGGCCCTGGGTCTTCCCTGGAGACAGCTGGAGCCTGAGACTGGTCCAGGTGAACGCAGAGCACAGGAGAGATTGAGACCCTGTTCTGTGTCTGGTGTAGGTGCTGAATGCCGTCCCCCTCCTCCTGCGCATCCCAGCGCTGGCTGGCAAGGTCCTACGCTCCCAAAAGGCTTTCCTGACCCAGCTAGATGAGCTGCTGACCGAGCACAGGATGACCTGGGACCCAGCCCAGCCACCCCGAGACCTGACTGACGCCTTCCTGGCAGAGATGGAGAAGGTGAGAGCGGCTGCCATGGTGGGGACCAAGGGTGGTGGGTTGAGCTCCTGGGAGGAATGAGGAGTGGCCAGGCAAAAGGTGGGGCCGCTGGATTACCTGGTGAGTGGCACCTGGGCTGACAGGTGCAGAATGGGAGGACGTTTGGGGGCTTTCCCGCTCTGTCCCCGAGTACCCTCTCGGCCCTGCTCAGGCCAAGAGGAACCCCGAGAGCAGCTTCAATGAAGAGAACCTGCGCATGGTGGTGGCTGACCTGTTCTCTGCTGGGATGGTGACCACCTCGACCACACTGGCTTGGGGCCTCCTGCTCATGATCCTGCACCCGGATGTGCAGCGTGAGTCCAGCTGGGGCCAAGTGCAGGGGGCAAGGGAGGAAGGGTACAGGCGGGAGCCCCTGAGCTTAGCTAGGACACCCAGGGCTCCCAGCACAGGCTTGACCAGTCTCCTGTAAGCCTGACCTCCTCCAACACAGGAGGCAGGAGCGGGTCAGGGCTGGTCCCCTGAGTGCTGACCCATTGTGGGTTCGCATGTCTGTCCAGGCCGTGTCCAACAGGAGATCGACGACGTGATAGGGCAGGTGCGGCGACCAGAGATGCGTGACCAGGCTCACATGCCCTACACCACTGCCGTGATTCATGAGGTGCAGCGCTTTGGGGACATTGTTCCCCTGAATATGCCCCACATGACATCCCGTGACATCGAAGTGCAGGGCTTCCTCATCCCTAAGGTAGGCCTGGAGCCCTCCTCACCCCAGCTCAGCACCAGCCCCTGGTGGTAGCCCCAGCATGGCCACTGCCAGGTGGGCCCAGTCTAGGAACCCTTGCCACCCAGCCCTCAATGCCACCACATCAACTGTCCCAGCCTGGGTGTGGGGTGCAGAGTATAGGCAGGGCTGGCCTGTCCATACAGAGCCCCAGTCTAGTAGGGAAGACAGATCAGGACCTGCCAGAATATTGGAGGACCCCAGTGCCTGTAGGGAGAGGGGGCAGCGTGGGCGCCCCGGGAGGTGTGACTGCGCCCTGCCATGGGGTCAGAGAGGGTGCTCAGGAGCTTCTCGGGTGCCGGACTAGTTGACAGAGTCCAGCTGTGTGCCAGGCAGTATGTGTCCCCCATGCGTTTGGTGGCAGGGGTCCCACCATCCTAGAGCCCAGTCCCCACTCTCACCCTGCATCTCCTTCCCAGGGGACGACGCTCTTCACCAACCTGTCATCGTGCTGAAGGATGAGGCCGTCTGGGAGAAGCCCTTCCGCTTCCACCCCGAACACTTTCTGGATGCTCAGGGCCACTTTGTGAAGCCAGAGGCCTTCCTGCCTTTCTCAGCAGGTGCCTGTGGGGAGCCCGGCTCCCTGTCCCCTTCTGTGGAATCTTGCAGGGGTCCTGCCTGGGAGGCAGGCTCACTGACACCCCTCCCCTCCCCACAGGCCGCCGTGCATGCCTCGGGGAGCCCCTGGCCCGCATGGAGCTCTTCCTCTTCTTCACCTGCCTGCTGCAGCGCTTCAGCTTCTCGGTGCCCGCCGGACAGCCCCGGCCCAGCCAC